AAAGGTCCTTGATGTCTCAGTGCCAACTATAGCAGCATCAATGTGCTGTCAACATTCTTCTCATAAGAAATCCCAAACGAAATCCAAAACAAAGAGCTCTTCAAGCTACTAGAAAGAAAAACTAACTCTGTCCTAGCAGAAACCAGGACTGGAATTTTTTCCGGTGATTTCTCTGAGAAGTGAAGCTTGATCTTCAGTGGATTTTATCTGGTCCCAAGAACAGAGGGTGAAGGTGCAAAGCGGGAATGCCAATTGACAGATGGCTGAAAGCGACGCTGGGAAGAAGGGCTTTGATATGGCAAACATGGGAAGCTCCTGATTTGTAGCTTCGAGCTGCGGAGATTTTTGGGACTCCAGCACCAGCTCTGCAGAGAGCTCGCCCACCTGTACGCAGGGAAAAAGCAATCTGCCTTCAGCAGAGAGGTCTGACATCTCCGTGAAACTCAATCAAATGCATGGATCGAGATCACATGAAGCTCAGTGATCTTCTGGAAGCCATCACAGACCATCAGTGACCACCTCACAGTGTCCAGGCCACTGTCACGTTGTGCCGGTGTGTCTGTGACTATACCACTGCCGGGACCCGCCGTGTTCCTGCCACCTCTGGGAGTTGTGGCTGGATGTACCACTCCTGGCTTAGTTGCCTTAGTGAGACTCTGGCACACGAGCTAAGAGCAAGCTGGGTGGTTTTGCTTTTGTTTGACAGGTTTGTTTTAACAGGGATTTGCTCCCTCATCCAGCTCATGGCATCTTCTTTCTCAGCCTCAAGAGTTGTTTCAGCTTCTCTGGGAGGATGGACAGGACAGGGAGCGGGACATTATGCGGGGCAGAAGAAACGCTTGCCTGGCTTTACCCATCTTCCTAGTTAAAGGAAGTCCTACTGGCATACCTCTACTTCTCTTAATTACCGGTCTTTATCTTTCCTTGCAGTTAATTTCCATGTCACCTTTGTGGTTTGGCTGTTCCCGCAGAGTCTGTCCGACGAGAGATTCCAGCAGCAGGAGGAAAAAATGCAGCAGCTGCGGCAGGACTTGCGTCGCGTTCAGAACTTGTGCAGCTCAGCCGAGAGGGAGCTGAGATACGAAAGGGAGAAGAACGTCGACTTACAAAAGCAAAACCTCTTGCTCCAACAGGAATGCACCAAGGTAGGAAGAGAGCAGGGAGAACTGCTTGAAGAGAGCGTGACATCATTTTACAAGCTATGGGAGGTCTGAGGTGCTGATTTCAACTGACTGGACCTCGTTTACGTTTGACTGTCCAGTACCTGGGGCTCTCAAGCGTGCTCTGTCTCAGCTACATGGAAATTGCACTGTACTTGCTCCATGTATTTCTCTTTTATTCCTGTTCATTCTCTGGCAATCCCATTGCCCCTTTCTTAATCAAGACATTTCGGATGAGGTATGTTGAAGCTCAAACTTGATTTCTTCTTCTTTTGAAACCCAGGTCAAAGCTGAGCTGAAGCAAGCCCGGGCAAAACTCTCGGACACGACCGAAGCATGCTCCTCTCTCTCAGCACAGTGGCAAAAAAGCCAGCAGAAGGTCAAAGAACTCGAACAAGAGCTCTTGAAGTGCTCCCAGGCTGATAAACTGCAGAGCAGTCTGCAAGAGAAACTTGCACAGGAGAAATCCAAAGCGTGTGACGCGCAAAAAAAGGTAACTCATCAGTGGGGGCGAGGTTAAGATGTTTTTAGCAGTTTCGTGGAGCTGTTGTTCAGGGAAAAAAAAGCATTAGCAGCTCATGAATGGGTTCCCTGAAGCCCATTTGACTAGTCCGTTCTGAGACCAGTTGGCTGAATATTTTAGGAAAAACGTCTGGGATTAGTGGGAGCATAATCAAGACAACAGAAGCCAAATGTGATGGCTCAACTCCTGTCTGTAAAGCTCAATGCAGCTGAAAAATACCAGTAGCAGGGCTGGCGGGTGCAGGGAGCCCAGGTCACGTCCTTGCCGAGGAGATGTGCTGCTGTTTGCTGTCTGGGGAACTGCAAAAGCCTGTGTTTTCCACGGCATCGATTCTGCCACGTTCCTGCACTAATCCTTGGATTTGGTTTTGAGGCGTGCAGGATCAAATTAGGTGCAAAAAGGATTGTTGCCAATTCATGGCATAGTATCTGATGCAAAATCTGGTAGCCGTTGGAAAGGTTTTACTGGGAATAGACTTTGACACAAGGACATGCAGAAGTACTTTCGAGTAGAAGCAAGCACATCTTTCATTCCTATGACTCAGATACTGTGGGATCTGATCTGGATTCAGATACTGGTTTATAAATTCCAAAAGTTTAACCCGTGTCCAATTTTAATCCGAGATTTCAAAACTCCAGCAAAAGCTGAAAGATTCACAACACCAGCTCCTGCTGGCAGAGGCCCATGTTTCAGACAAGAAACTCCTGGAGGAGGAATTGAAGGAGGCCCGAGAAAACGAAGCTCGCGTGCAGCAAGAACTTCACGAGGAGCAGCTGAAAAGGTACCCAGAGCTGGGCAGGGCCTGGGCTGCGTGCAGAGGGCAAGTGTGTGCCAGCGAGTGCTGCTGTGCCAGCCCGCAGCTACCTCCTGCAGCTCCCTGGCTGGCCCTAGGTGGGCTCAGGGAGTCACTGCACCACTGGTTTCACCTCCTAGCTCTACTTTTGACCTGTCAGCGTCCCTGGCAAAGCTCCACAGGATCCCCTTTTTATGAGATTTAAAAGATTTTTGGAGACTTCAGCGGCCTCAGAAGGTGCATGACCCCTCCAGCCAGCCCAGTGATCTGGTTTACACTCTGGATGCCAGCAGTCCCCTTTCTCGTGCAGCTGGGATGGATCATCCCAGATAACATCACACACCCTTTCACGTGCCACTGGGACATGGGGACAACCAGGATGTGCTGATTTCTTTCTGCCCTCAGCATTGCCCAGGGCAGGTGCAGGACCTGTGTGAGGTTGTGTTTAGATCACAGTGAGGCTTGAACTCACGGTGGCACATCACGGGCTGGCCTCCGCGTCGGTGTCTCACTGTCACACCAACATGTTTTCAGGAAGCTCCTAGAGCAGCAGGTGGAGGAGGCAGCTTCGGCATTCGCAGGAGACGGAGGCGTCGCTGGCCAAGATGCACGTGGAGCTGCAGGCCAAGACTCTGCATGTCCTGGAAGACGAGAGGAAAACTGACTCGAGCGAGGTGAGCTGCAGCACGGACGGGTCCTCATCTCATCACCCAAGAGGATGCTGTGCTGGTGGCTGACTCCAGATCAGACCACTGAGCTCTAGAGGGAAACGGGACCATCCTAGTGTGAAATCTGTACCTGGGAACTGCTGAAATAGGGTCAGATCCAGCCAGGTGCTGAGCCCTTGCAGATCCCACTTGTCTAAACAGGAGCTGGAGGAAAAGCACCATCCCATCTTGCATAGGTTTCCTGGAGATATGCAGCTCTGAGGGAGCAGAAGGAGGGCTTGATGGCGTCTTCCCCCCTCCCTTCCCCTTTTCTTGCAGAGCACGGAGCTTTTTGCAGGAAAATTTTGGCAGAGTCCGCTGTCTGGGAGGATGTGTTACCTCTCTGCCCTGTGGAAGCCATCAGCTCCCCCAGCAGCGCAGAAGTCCACACTCCCCTTTCTTTAAGGGGAAGAGGCAGTGGTCTTGGGGGGCAGAATGGTTATCTGTAGTGGGAACCACTGGGATTTATGACAGAGCAGCTTTGGAGACCAGACTGAAACGAGGCAGAGGGACCCCTGCCGCTGAGGACATGCACACAAATAAAATATAGATGTTTTCCAGCACCTCCAGTGTCAGAAGGAGAACCAGAAGCTTTCAGAGCAACTTTCACTGCTGAAGGAGGAAAACAAAGCCCTTTATGAGGAAGGAGTCCGTCTCCTGAACCAGAAGGATCTGTATGTCAGGTAACGACTGAAGCAGCAGGGCAGGGCATGTGTAGACACAAAAAAGCCTACCCAGAAATTGCTCCTTACGTGCCTGGCAGTGACCCTGGCTCTGACAGCTCTGTAGCCTTTCTTGTCTCTCCTGCCCGAGGCATTTAGCAGGGAGGGATCCGCCTTAGCCTGGCACCCGGCGTGCAATTACGTGGCATCACGTCTGCTGTGTGTTCTCCTTGGCAGCTGAAGGTGGCGCAGACAACGAGGGGTGCCTGGGGGGGGCTGTGGGTGCTGCTGTTTAGGGTCTGGCATTGGCAGAGGTGCTCCGCAGAGCTGCTTGTTGCTCTCCAGAGCACTTTCGATCTAATTTGAAGTACAGTAGCTTTTTTGTCGTGAGTTTTGAGCAAATGTGGACAAACATCCTTTATATGGTAGAGATTTCTCTTTTTTTGACGTCGTTTTCCCTTCTATCCCAGCTGGATAAAAATAAACAAGAACATTGCCCAAATGGGACAGGTTTGAGGGGAAAAGTAATGACCACCAGTCTCAGTAGAGACAAATATTTAACCCCAGTGTCGCAGCTCCAAGAAGCACCCACTGAAGTAGCTCTTTCTGCAGCCTGTTTGCCTGACCTTTGCTGTTCAGGATTCTTTGTCTGCCTTTTTCCCCTTAACCACCCACATCTCCACCCAAACAAACAACTCACCCTTTCCCCGTGACTTCCAATTTTGGTGACTTTATAACCAAATAAAGTTGCGTTATGTTTGGTATGAAGAGCTGAGAGGGGCGAGCGCACGGATTTGTAAAGCTGGGAGTCAGTTTTGGGAATGCTTCGGGTCCTTTTCCCTCAATCGATTTCCATTTGGTTGACACTTAACAATATAACCTTTGCAACAAAACCACCCCCGGACTGATCAGTGGAAGACATAGTCCGGAAGGTCAGTGTATCGTTCCACCTTTAGCTGCACGGCCAAAAAGGAGCGGGGAGATGGCTGAGGCTCCCAGTTCAGGCTTTGAAGAGCCTGAGTAAATACAGGACATCTCCTGCCTTGCTCTTGACCCAGAACACAGAAGCTTTTCACAGCCTGATGTTTGCATCTCTGCCTCCTCAGGAAATATAACGAAATGCAGCTCCGCCACAAAAACAAGATCCGCAGAGCCAAGGAGACCTTTATCCACGAGGTGAAGCAAAGGGACAGCAGAATTAAGCAGCTTGAAAATGAGCTCAGCGAGTCAAAGCTCCAAGTGGAAAAGGTGAGAGAACACATCGAGGGCTTCTCCTGCAAGGGAAGGCAGAGGAGTTGGGGTTGTTCAGCCTGGAGAAGAGAAGGCTCTGGGGAGACCTTCCAGCAGCCTCCCAGCACCTAAAGGGGCTACAAGAAAGCTGGAGAGGGGCTTTGGACAAGGGTGTGGAGTGACAGGACACGGGGCAATGGCTTTAAACTGAAAGAGGGGAGATTTCAACGGGATCTAAGGAAGAAATTCTTCCCTCTGAGGGTGGTGAGGCACTGGAGCAGGTTGCCCAGAGAAGCTGTGGCTGGCCCCTCCCTGGAAGGGG